GTTGAATGCAGTCTTCCATTCGTGACCTTCCTTTATGCGTATTAAATTGTATGCACCTCTAAGGTCCAATTTGGTGAACACAGTAGCATGTTTCAGCCTGTCAAATAACTCTGTAATTAAAGGTATAGGGTATGCATTTTTGATAGTGATTTTGTTTAGACCTCTATAGTCGATGCACGGTCTTAAATCACCCTCTTTCTTAGATACGAAGAAAAACCCTGCTCCAGCCGGAGAAGAGGATCTCCTAATGAACCCTTTTTCTAGTGATTCTTTAACATACTCCTCCATGATACGGTTTTCTTGAATAGATAAAGGGTACACCCTGCCCTTAGGAGGTATAGTGCCAGGCAATAAATCAATAGCACAATCAGGATCTGTGAGGCGGTAATTTATCAGCTTCCCTTTTATCGAATACAGTTTTGAGAAACAAGTACTGAGGAGGTATAACAGTAGATAAAGGAGGAGTAGTAGGAACATTAATGATATTTAAAGGGGTGACTTTACTCATACAAGAGTCGTGGCAGGTTTTACTCCATGATTTTAATTGCCCCAATTCCCAGTCAAAAATGGGATTGTGAGAACATAACCATGGGTACCCTAACACGATATGAGAAGAGGGAGAGGTGATAACCTGAAACCAAATGGTCTCAAGGTGTAAAACCCCTGTGTACATGAATAATGGCACAGTTTCATGGGTAACTACTGGAGTATTTAAAGGTCTACCATCTATGGCCTCAATGGCCAAGGGTATCTGCCTCTCTCTGACGGGAATGTTATTTTTCGTAACAAACTCAGTCAATGAAGTTCTCAGCAGCCCCGGAATCAACCAAGGCTAGTATGCTTTCAGCTATACAACTCTCTCCCGTATGAAGGGAAACAGGGAGAAGCAAACGGTTAGGAGGCAATTTAGGAGACTTAGATATCACATCCAAGGCCAGTCCCCTATAAGGTCTTAGGTGCGAGAGTTTTCCGGAAGCAAAGGGCATTCCTTTACCATATGATCTCGCCTACCACAGTATAGGCAGAGTCCGTTCCTTCTTCTAAGTAGTTTTTCAGTATCTGAGAGTTTGGCAACCCCTAATTGCATGGGTTCCTCCTCAGATACTTTAACACTCTCAGGTTTATCAACTCTGGGGTTAGTAGGTGTGACTACACGTCTATTCCTGTTCTTGGTATAGAGCCTGTCACAAATTCTATTATCTATATCAATGAGGTAGTCAATAAGGTCCTCTAATGGAATAGGAAGCTCCCTTGCCGCTACCTCATCTAATATAGTGTCAGATAAACCTTCCATGAACGCAGTAGTTAACCCATTATTGGTCCAATCTACCTGTGAAGCAAGGGTACGAAACTGAATAGCATAATCAGCCACAGACCTAGACCCCTGTTTAATTCTCATTAATGCTCTTGCGGCATTCTTTGACCTTTTTGTTGTGTCAAAAGTTCTACGAAAAGCCTTAAGAAAGCTATTGAAATTATGCACCATAGGTCCATTGGCCTCCAAAATAGGATTTGCCCACTCAAGTGCTTTGTCAGTAAGTTGATGCATCAAAAACCCCACTTTAGACCTATCAGTGGGAAAGGAATGAGGATACATCTCAAGGTGGAATTCTATTTGATTAATAAAACCTCTGCATGTCTTGGCTTCCCCTCCATACCTAGGAGGAGGTGTTAAATGGGGCGAAGTATTGGGTGAATTGGATACTTCGGGAGGATGGGGTGTAGGTGCGGTTGCAGGAATAGTTCTAGACAAGAGCGTCTGGAGAGCCTGTGCTATCTGATCCATACGATGATCCTGTTCTACAAACCTTTCCTCGTGAGAAGCCATTTGCTGAGCCAAGTCTGCGGGGTCCATGGCCCTATCGTAATGTAACGAGAATATACCCCAACACGCAGGATTGGGCTAAACAGAAGACAACACAGAGGAGAGATACGTCTACCGGACCTTAAAATGTCCGGACTCGACTTATATGAGAGGAGGCAGAGTCAGGAACGATCCGAAGTCAAGGACACAGACAGCGTAAACTAGGACAAGCTGGGGTCTGGTACACAGTAAACAGCAAGCCGACAACCAGAACAGATAAGGATAAAGAGAAAACGTAGTCAGAAACAAAGCCAAAGTCAAAACGGAGAAACACAACTGAACACAACAAGCGCTAAAGGGAACTGATACAGAAACCACGATAGGGCAGGGAGTAAAGGGTAAGGTAAGTATGTATAGCTTTTAAACTAATGTGATTGGCTCCTGTCATATCCACACCCCCAAAAGGTAAGTGTATGGGGAGTGTGGCATGACAGGGGCCAATGGGAGCCTTTTAACAATTTAGGCTCCCACTGCCTCTTTAAGAGCGTGCCCGAGACTCGCGGCGCGCTCTTAGATTCAGGCGGGACACGTGACCGCTTCTCGTGCAGCAGCAGGACCGCGCGCAGCTCGAAGAGAGGACCGCGGCCGGCCCCTGGATAAGGTGAGTAACGCTACACTTCTTTCTTCAGTTATATACAGTGCGTGGTTACAGTTTACTGCTCAACTGAACCCTGCCTACACTAAATATGGTCACTATAAATAAATGAGGTAGAGGCAAACTGTCTGCCGACACAAATTTCAATATGGAAAAAAAGTCTCCACAGTGCAGCAATATTCCCACACTGAAGTTGTATATAAAGTGTATAATAGCCAAACAGGAAAAAAGATAGGAGTCTTGCACAACTTGAATTTGCAGTGCACCCCCTAGTGCTAAGGACATTAGCATTGATAAAGAGCTGTTGCCCAAAACGTTTGTTTTACTTTGTAGCAGGGGGTGCACTGCAAATTCTAGTTACGCAAAATTCCTATCTTTTTTTCTGTTACACTAAATATGGAAGGTCTTTTTTTTTCTACTCTCTGTACAAAAAGAGCATTTTAAAGCGTGGTGGTGGTAGTGCGGGTGATCTTCCCCTTGTTCATCCACATGAAAAAAGTAAAATTACATTAAATCCTGCTGTCACTTATATTTTGTTTTTCAAATGGCTTTTATTGTGGTTTTTCCCTGCTTTACTTGGTTCCTTTTACCGCTACATATCCAGCTGGGACCTGCTTCCAATTATTAATTCATACAGGATAGCAAAAGGACAAAGATTGCAATAAATCATTATAAAACTAAATTCTATCAATTTCATGTTTTTTTTTAATCCATATATATAATAATCTAATTTTGGCAACTCAGAATTGTCATTGCAAATATTGTTGATTATGCGTAGCCATTAAGCTATGCAATATTGTAGACATTTTTACATGTCACAGTCCCCGTCACCATATTTCCTTCTGTTCTGGCTGTCTGAATGGCCTTCCCAATTTTTTTTGGTACTGAAATTCTGGCAAACATCAGCATGTACTAAATTACGCCAACCTGAAAAAAAAAGTAAATTCTGTTTAAAGTGGTTCAAAAGAACTGAAACTTTTCGCCTTCCCATGTCTGGTGAAATTTGTATCAGAAAAGCAGTGAGTTTGCATACTCATTTTTTTGGATAGGGTGTGGATTACCTGAACATAATAAAACAGTCAGCAAAAATAATAAAATACATCCAAGCACAACTTTTTTAAAAAAAACCAAAACAAAAGTAAATTATTGGAAGAAAAAACTAACCAATATAAGGTAGGAAAAAAAAAAAACGTTTTATTTCAAGGTAAATGTTAGATGCAGGGCCTCCTAATGAGGCTTTAATGTGCCCATTATTCCTGATAAAATGTTGAAAGTATGTTATGTTTGTCCTTGACAAAAGTACAGTACTCCTTTTGAATGCATTTCAAAATCTTCCAGACCATTAAATAGTTTATGCATATGTTATATATTAGTTCCCTGCTTATGATGAAAAAAGTAAAACAAAACATACAAATAATTAAGCCTAGAAAAGTCATAAATCTAGAAAAGCTTTTCAAACTTTGCATCCTGTGACATTCGCTTATGCTGGTTCTTCTCTCGCAGCCGACTGACCTTAGTAGGAGAAAAAATGATGTTCTTTATATACAAATCTTAGAGGGAGATTGACAGATCAAGCTGCACTGAGAGCTGATGTTGACATTTCTGGTAGCACAAAACTTTCATATGACCAAATAACACATATAAAAGAATAGGAGGGATTTGTTAACTACAGAACTGCTCACAGTTCTCAGTAAATTAAGTGTTCTTATTAAATTATGCTTAAAAACTTATATATCAGCATTAATTTTGCAGAAAAGAAGAAAAGGAAAATATGTTGTAACAAACACATGGCCTACACAATATCTACATGTTAAAATACAATATGTACTATAGAATTATACATTTCAAACATCCCTGCACAGGATGCACTTTTTCAAGATTTGTATGTGGTCAAAATATATTTTTGATATTTTTTGATATTTCTATATCTTTAGTTGCCACTTATTATTATTATTTATTATTATTATTATTGCCATTTATATAGCGCCAACAGATTCCGTAGCGCTTTACAATATTATGAGAGGGGGGATTTAACTATAAATAGGACAATTACAAAAACCTTACGGGAACAATAGGTTGAAGAGGACCCTGCTCAATCGAGCTTACATTCTATAGGAGGTGGGTTGTAAAACACATTAGGACAGGAATTTGCAGTCAAATAAGGTGGGCTGCCCTTTAGGAGAGAGCGAGAGACAGTTAAAATGAAGTATTTTAGCCGAGCTATAAAGTGGTACAAACACTTCCAAATTATGTAAGTAAATAAAACAGGTGAATGATGTTGGCTTTATTTGTCGCATGCTAAATCATTGATAGTGTAAAATAAATAAAATGCAATTATATACTATATAAATATCATTTAGCGCTAATATAATGATGTGTAACTGACAATAATTAACTAACGTGCTAATATAATATATTTTCCAAAACAAAAATGAACACTAAAAGTGCATTATAATTAATAATGTCCCGAACTGTTCACCGAACGGTTCGCCACGGACGTCGAACATATGCGGTAAACTTTGACCCTGTACCTCACAGTCAGCAGACACATTCCAGCCAATCGGCAGCAGACCCTCCCTCCCAGACCCTCCCACTTCCTGGACAGCATCCATTTTACATTCATTGTGAAGCTGCATTCTTAGTGAGCTGTCCAGGAGGTGGGAGGGTCTGGGAAGGAGGGTCTGCTGCTGATTGGCTGGAATGTGTCTGCTGACTGTGAGGTACAGGGTCAAAGTTTACCGCATATGTTCGCCGTCTGTGGCGAACCGTTCGGCGAACAGTTTGGGACATCACTAATCACTAATTATAATATATTCCAATATCCATGCAGCTCCCATATGTACTTGACATCAGCAAACTAATTAAAATACTTTCAAACCCAAATAAATAATTTATGGTGCCCAATAATAATGTATATATGTATACTTAATAAAGATTTCTTTTATTCAAAAACACAAGATATAAAAGACACATACTGTATAGTGCAAAAACACAAGTGTAAATTCTAAGAACATTCTAACTTCTAATACCGATGGAAGTTCACAAACTTGATGTGGCTATGTGCAACTCAAATGGCTCTACCCTAAGAGGATCAGCCTCTGGGGTACGCTGGATCCAACAGAGGAAGTTATTCTATTCTTCAAAACTATGAAAGCATTGTCAGTACTCAATCTTTATTTATTTTTATTTTTTTTTAAAACAACTTGCTCAATGCAAACTGATTTGAAAACAAACAGTATTGAGTATAACAAATCTATAGAAAAAAGAAGTACTGTATAATATCCCAAAAAGACCAGAAAACAATGCTAAACACCCAAAAGTGCACCTCACATACACCAATAAAATATGACAAAAAAGTAAATCTATACTACACCAACAAGTGATAGTATAGATTAAAGGGGTAGCAAATAAATATCATGAGACATACAACCTGTATGTAATATAACACAATTCTCCAGAAGATCTAGAATATAAAAAAAATCACACAATAGTGAAGTATATACGGAAATGAATAGTTCAATCCCGAAGGTAGAAAACTTACAAGACCATGCTGAAGATCTGCGCCTGTCTCCCTTCCATAGGGTATGTATGTTTAGGACAGCGTCTCCTTCAAGGTGAGTTTGCAGTGTAACACAGCAGCATATATTCAGAACACCCAATCCTCAAAGGAAAAAGATATATAGAGCAGTATTGTAACAAAAAAAGGGGTTTATTGATACAAAATGCACTTACATCAATTGAAGATTAAAACAGCTTGTCTCCACTAACAAGTGGTACCAAGGAGAAAGGGTCCCTCTGTGGTAAAATTAAAGTATATAATATAAAAAACAAACAATTAAAACAATGAAGAGCCAAAAACAAATAGTTCTAGCTTGTATCCAACGTGTTTCATCTTGAAGACTTCTTCAGGGATATGCAATACAGTTCAACAGTCCTTTCCTTTTATAAACCTCAGAGGATCTTGAATTTGCTGCGAAAGAAATTCCTACTTCCGGGTTCCGTCTTTGCCAGTTGTGATGACGTTTTCAGTCGTCTGTGAAGGGGAGGGCTACTTCCGCGTTTTCACTCTGGAACGCATGCCGTCCTCTTTCCTGAAGAACGCTTCCGAGTTCCACTGTGGAACGCACGGTAATCTCGGCAACCAATAGGTTGTGGAGAAAACCGAGCATCCCAGAGCGGGACAAAGGAAGGCTACCTACATTCAAAAAACATCAAAACCACAAGGTTCTGTTTAAATACATATGCAGAGTCAAACAAAAAGGCAATATAATGGCAAATAAATCACATAATAAATATGTATATACATATGTATATCACAAAAAATATAAATGGTACATATGGGTAAAAAATATATATATATTCCTACATCTACATATATTGTTAATGATAAGTGCATCTCACCCACCCATAGGTAAGTAGCACCAAGAAGGATATATAGAATCAAGATGATAATAAAAAATAATCTATATAATAAAAAAATATATATACATATGTACATATATATCAGAATGGATCTCTGACACCCATATGAAAATAACAGTGAATAGCTCAAACGTATAAAATAATATAAAATAATATGACCTAAAAAGTGGGATGTCTAAAGACCCAAAAAATCACTCAGGCCATAAGAAGGGGTGTGGATTCTAAGCTAAAGGAGCCCCACCAAATCAATATCCTGATTGAGGCCTGTCTTTAAAGTTTTTAATGTATAAATCCAAAAGGCTTCCTTTTTAGCTAAATCGTTGATTTTTCTTCCTCCCCTCCAATTTTTTGTGACCTGATCTATGCCAATAGCAATAAACGTAGACCATTTAAACATACTACAAGAATTAAAATGATTAGGAACACTATGCTCCACCTTATGCGTCCTAATATTATTAAAGTGTTCATAAAGCCAAGAATGTAGAGTTCTAGTAGTCCGTCCTACATACTGGGCACCACATCCACATTGTAAGAGATAAATTACATATGTGGATATGCAATGTATAATTTTTTTTATGTTATATGAATGGTTAGTGTAAGATCCTATGTAGTTCTTTTTTTTTGGTGGGTACATGTAGAACATGCACCACATTTATGGAAGCCTGGAGTTTTTTGGGATTGGAGAAAATTTGGTTTTGGACTTTTTATCAATTTGGGTAAAAGACTGGGTGCCAGTTTTTTTTTTAAGTTGTCTGCTTTTCTATATATGACTACAGGTTTTTCTGGTATCCTATCTAAAATTTCATCTTTTTTTAAAATAGCCCACTGTTTTTTAAGAATTTTTTCTATTTTCTTAGCCTGAGAACTGTACTTAGTAATAAAAGCAAACTCCATATGTCCACCAATGGTTTGATTTTTACATCTAGTATTTTTATCCATTAAAAATTCTGTGCGTTATGTATTCCTTATTTTTATGATGTCTTTTTCTATTTGGTCTGCATTATAACCTTTTTCGACATATCTATTCTGTATTAATTTTGATTGCTCTTCGAACATCTGACCATTAGAACAGTTTCTCCTCATTCGGGTTATTTGGCCCTTCGGAACATTGTTGAGCCATATTGGGTGGTGTAAGCTAGTCTTTTTTATAGCGGTGTTACAGTCAGTCTTTTTGAAAAAAAGTTTTAGTGTGGAGAATCTCATTTTCTACATATAAAGTCAAGTCCAAAAAGTCTATAGTCATCGTATTGATATTGGAAGTAAAATTTAGGTTATATTAATTTAGATTTAGAGTTTTAATAAAGTTCTCCAAACCTAAGATATATCCTTCCCAAATGATAAGTACATCATCAATGTAACGTCGCCATAGGATGAGACTCCCCCCTGGATGTGGTCCCAATTGGATGAAAGAAGTCTCCCAATGGGACACATATAAATTCGCGAAACTGGGGGCGAACCTCGTCCCCATGGCGACGCCACACCGCTGTAAATAAAAAATAGAATCGAACCAAAAGGAGTTTTTTGTCAAAACAAAATGGATACAAGACACCAAAAAATCAATTTGTCTTAAACTTAAACTCTGTTGTTGGATTAATACGTCTCTGATAACCTCCAAACCCTTCTCATGTGGAATATTGGAGTACAGGGAGGTAACATCCACCGTGGCCAGTATATAGGATGGTTTCCAAGTAAATGATTGTAAAGTTTGGAGAATGTGGGTAGGTTTTAGAAAAAAATCTACGTATTCGGAAAGATTACAAGATAGTGAGTTAATCCCACTAATAATTGGTCGACCCAGAGGGGTCATCCAGCACTTGTGGATCTTTGGAAGAAAATAAAAAATCGCTATTTTACAAGTCGGATTAAAAATGTACTGGAATTCTTTAGAGGAAATAATAGCTTGATAAAGGCCTGTCTGGAGTAAAAGTCTGAGATCCTCCAGTATTGAGTATAAATCCATTCTGGAGTTCTTTGTGTGGAAAAAACAACTCTGTTGGTCTTTTGCAACTTTGTAACCCATCTTCATGTACTGCTATCTCTTTTCTCAATGACAAAACTGTATTCACTAGATTTATGCAAGGTGGAAAAAAATCCATTGAGAAAGGTCCAGTAGGCAGAGTGAAACGCGTTGTCAACTTAGTGGATAATGCACGTGAAGATTTGATTTGTTCCGAATTGCAATTTGTCCACATTTGGGATTGTTTGTATTCTTGAACTCCAAGCCAAAATGATACCAAAAAAAGTTCTATGGACAAACATGTTTGTTTTGATTTGTGAATCTGAACAGCCAGTAAATGTTTTATTTTATTCACAGATAAAGTGAAAAGTGACAAATAGAGGCAAAAAAAGAGGGGCACCAAGAATATTTATTTTTATACATTTATGGCTTGAATTTGTGGGAGGAGTTTTCCCTATATAAACTCAACCCCCTCCACTACTTACCTACGCTATTTCCTGTTTGGGTGAGGTTGCCACGATAACCAGCACTTCCGTTTCGGTCCTTCCCTTTCCTTTTCACTGCTCAGACCCAGCATCCCACAGACTCGGCCTTCAGCGTCCCCCACCCTGGACTTCAGAGTCTCTGACACGGCCTTCAGCATCTCCGACCTGCCTCCCATATCGCAAGATGCCGGCTTCCGGTCACGAGACACGGCACGCTTACATATGTACCCGCGGGAACCCGTTCACGGCCTACCAAACTATGGGATTGGCTTCCATTACGTTTGCATACAAGTGTACAGTTCAATTGCTGTCATGTAAACATACTTGTGCTTAATACTCACATTTGCGGGTTTCCGCTTGTTCCCATACAGCCTGTTCGCTCACTTATTCTGTTTATTCGTCTGGTTCAAGCCGTACATTTGTTTACTTGTCCCGTTCGTACGTTGGTTGAATCATGTGTTCATTCGTTTAAATCTCAACTTACCTAGATGCTGACACTTAAGCTTTCGTTTAAAACTGTTTGGTTGGGTATTCTCTTAATTTATCAGTTTGTATGTTTTTATAAACCATAGGGCTTGGTACAGGGTTCACTGTTCGTTTCAGCATGCGCTGAATTTCACTCCATTCGTGCAGGCTTTTCTCTTAAGTTTTTCCTGCACTTATTAATGTATATTTGGTTTGATTAAATAAACGTGCTTTTTGCGTTTTTTTTTCGCTCACTTCCTTCAACTGTGCATTTCAATGTTGGTCACAGTTCAGTACGTTACCTATGTTCTTAAATATACTGCACGTTTTAAATTCACATATCCATTCGCTAGGATTTATGCTCACTAGTCTATATAGTC